GCATCAGAACATTCGGTAAAGCCTGCTTGTCGTGTGCCTCTGAAGCATTGCGCCAAGACCAGCTTTGACAGGGCGGCCCCATGTTCTACGCCGAGAACTATGCCGGGTTCAAGAAGATCCTGGAGCGCGTGAAGTACTACAACGAACAGGCCAAGGTGAGCGGTGCCGCATGTGCCCATGGGATGTAGGTGGTCCTTCGGGCCTGGATTTTCAAAAGAGCAAGCAACAGGAGGTAGTGTTGGTTGGTTGGCATCGGTGCTGCTGCTCTTGCAGCGGCTACGGATGCTGGCTGCTGCTGCTGCTGCTGCTGCTGCTGCTGCTGCTGCGGCTGCTGCTGCTGCGGCTGCCGCCATTGCTGCAGCTGTCAAACGGCTGACAAAGATCGTGAGTTCAACCCCAGCGCACAACTCGCACTGGTTTGTGAGGAGCGCTTCACCAAGAACTCCAACTACTTGCCAATTGATTATTTCGAGCCCTCCAAGCTGTTGGAGGCCTGCGCGGCCAAGGAAGGCACAAAGGCCGGGCTCCCATCATCAGAGAAATCATCGCCCGGTGTCTGTGACTGGAATGCCAGGTGTTCCCCGGCCAAACACTGATTGATGTGGTGCTGGCCGACTTCCGCAAGAAGAGTTCTGCTCCTGGCCCGTTTGCAAAGCTTTGAAGAAGCTTGCGGCCAGCTTTCTTTTTTGCTCTCCTCTCTCTCTGCAGCAGTAGCGGCGAGCACAGTTGCCCTGGGTAGATCAATTCTTGCGGTCTGGACCTGGGTTAAGCTTCTACTACCACGTCATCTCTGCTCAGTGTTCCCGTGTTGAACGATCCTGTTTGAGTATCGTGCAGTAGAGGCTGTGAAGCGGTGTCAATCACGACACGTTGCATTCTCGGGAATTCTCTCGCATCCTACGGTTAGGTCCCTTACAACTCAGACCGTTTCAAGCATCAGCTGCTTGCCATGGCAATCTTCAAGAAAGTTCTGGCAACATCGCCTGGGGTGTCTGAGATGTGGTATTGCGAGAGACAGTAGGGGCGAACATAGGACATGTATTAACTTATTAACTTCATTCCGACATCCAACAGTGCTCACCGGTGTTCAACCTCTCGGCAGTGACGACAAGTCGATGCATCAATTTGTTTGAATCTGACAGGAACGGCAGCCTCTCCATTTCATGCCGATGCTGTTGACGTCTCTCGTTTTGGTGGCGATAGCATCTGGCGGCCGCTGACGGACCATGCCGCCTGCCCTAAGCCGCGTCGTATCAAGCATACACTTGCTAGAAGGAAGCCGTGCCTCGGAACGGATTGCCAGATGCTGCCACAGCCACAGCCTGCACAGTTTCCATGACAGTCTCCACAGTGGGACCTGGCGATTTTGGGCGGCAGCCGCCCTTGAGGTGGTGCCCGCCAGGCCGCTCGGGTTCCTGTCCTAGAGCATCCTAGAGTCCTAGAGCTGTTCAGCAGTGTTGTGCTCTAAAAACCAGTATAAGGCAGCTCCGGAACTATTGGGGGTCTTTTGAGCTTGGACAGGAGCACTGGCAGTTTGCAGAGTGGACAACCCTCTCCTGTTCAACAGTTTTGCATATCGCAGCGGGAAAACAGCAGGGCATGACCGACCCATCTTCGGCCTTGCCGGAAGGGTGAGGTTCGGACATGCCCAATGCGACGGAGTTAGGTCTACATTGCCCCTTCGTGGTCAGACATGCATCACATACGCTCCGCATCGATAAGGCAGGGCCTAGATCAAGTGAATCAAGTGAGTAATCAAGTGAAGCTGGTCTTGGAAATGCTCGAATCCGAGACCCGCTTCAAGCCAGGCCAAATCCAAATCGCGCAAGCGAGACGTGTTCTAGCTTTCGCACATGCCAGCCATTGGACCACACAGCATCAAGCTGCAACAACGTCCGCCGTTGCCACACTGCAGCCCTCGGAGAAACAAATCGGACAAATAACGAGGCAACCGACCTTGTCAGCTAGGCGGGAACCAGCAAACAAAACGATGAAACCGGCGGGAGGGCGCAAGGACATCTTCGCAACCAGCACGACAACATCTCGGCTCAGTTTGTCCAGTGCTATGCACCGCAGCAGATCACAATGAATGTGGGCTGAGGTGGCTGCGAGCTTCAGTGGTCGGACATGCAGCAGAAGCCGGTGCCTCAGCTGTCGAGTCCTCCCTCCTGCCATATCCTACATGTCCAGTGTCCCCTGATCGCGAAAGATCTCAGTGGCGACCACTTTGCCTGCCAACCAAATTTGCTGCAGTCTTCCGCCATCGGGCTCCAGCCAGCTCGAGAGAAACACGCGCTTGTTCCAGCCTTCGCTCAGCACTCCTCATGTCGGCCTCCATTGCCGTCCGTCCAGCTGCTTGGTGAGAAGTGGGCAAGCAGTCCGGAGCGTGGTGTTCGAAGCATAAACAGCTTCGAGACTTGCCATTCTGATTGCGTCTGCGACAGGATGGAGTCGGCGTGCTGACTATGAACAGCCCGCCGGTGAACTCGCTTGGCACGAGCTTGGTGACCTCGTTCAAGCGCTTCGTCCTGTTCTATCAGCTCCCCCCTGCCTGGCTGGCTGCAGTCACCCCTGTGGGATGTTTGGGGAGTTGCTTGAATCGCAGCTCAGGCAGGAGTTCCCGAAACTCGTCCAAGATCCAAAGGCTCGGCTGGGGTTTGCAGGGGATGATGGAAGATTCAGAGCATCTCGAAAACTCAAACAGTGAAGTGCCGCACATCTTGATCTTGTACAAGTAC